TTCTGGATTGAGTCCATGGATGCTTCGACCCTGAAGTCAGAAAGTACCTTGCCAGTAAGTACAAGTATGGGACAATGCCCCTGGCCATCCAGCACCCCATGAGTTCAACACTAAAGGCACCAAGTGGTCTACTTGGCCCCAAACACATGTCTCTAATCCAGCCTCTAGAGCATGAGGTCATAAGGACCCTTAAGGCTCATTTTACGAAGTACTCTATGGAAGACTGTCAGTACTAATAGTACAGAAACTTGACAGAGAAGATCATTAAAAATCTGGAAGGATTACATCACTGAAGATGCCATTGTTACAGAAAAAGTCATGAAATGTATCAAGCCCAAATTAGTAAATTCCTGCTCGAAAAAAACTGTCCAGATATTGTGCATGTCTCCACAAGATTTACAACAGAGGCAATCAAGAAAATCATGAAAGATTGTAGACAATATTTTTAAAAGGTAGGGACTAAAGAGTTTCAAATAGGGATCTTGAAGACATTCAAAAGTGACTATATACCACACCAGAGGAATTAACAGAAGACGACTTGATGGAGACGAGTGCTTCAAACCAGGGCTAGACAATGAGAAAGAAGACATAAAAGAAGCAGCGCCAGAAAACAAATTAATATTAGACAATTTGGAAGAAAGGTTCCCATTATTTAAGACTGCTTTTGACTTATTTTATGATATGGACTGTTTTATGATACAGTCACTGAAACCAAAACAAATAAGGAAGGATTGGTACCATATAGTAAAATTTTTAGAGAAATGAAAAGCAAAAAAGTCAGACAGACATTACAACATATTTCCATAAAGTTACACCAAGTCACCCTGCCTCTCCTTCCACCTCCTCCACCTGGGACAACAAGAGTAATCCCTTCTCTTTCTCCTCCTCCTCTGCCTACTCAATGTGAAGACAAAAAGGATGAAGACTTTTATGATAAACCACTTCCTCTTATTCAATCATATATTTGTTCTTATGATTTTTCTCAGTAACATTTTCTTTCCTCTAGCTTACTTTATTCTAAGAATACAGTACATAATAAATATACAAAGTATGTGTTAATCAACTAAGTTATTGATAAGATTTCTGGTCAAAAGGAGGCTATTTGCAGTTAAATTTTTGAGGATTCAAAAGTTATACACAGGTTTTCAACAATCACACTGATTGTTTACACTGTTCATGGGTCTACTGTACTATATTTACTTGCACATTTATATATTGCTTCACTAAAACACTATTGAAATATCTCTTGCTTCTAAGAATTTCAAACTCAAGGAATTAACTCAAATTAAGCCTGATAAAAATTTTTATAAGCTTTGCTCCAACTACTGCCAACAACAATAATATCTAGTTCCCACAACAGTCAAGCGTAGCTAAATTCTGGTAAACACACCAATACTTAAAAATTGGTATTCCGCCAACATCAACATACAGTCTGGATCTGAAAATAACATTCCAGGAGGAGGGCACAAGGCAAATAGACATTCAGTGTGGGAATGGAAGGTCAATCCAACATAATTCTGAACTTATTGATTATTTCAGAGAGTTTGCTGACTGGCAAGCACCTTTGTGTTCCCGTGTATTAGGCAAGTTAGCCACATTACAGAAGAATGGGGTATTATATTACTAACTGAAAAAAGACATTTTTAGAAACTACTTTTTCCGAAGTTTGGGATATTTGGCTTCTTTAAGGTGGGTATGCCTACAGACGAGAGATGAATATATATCCTTATTAAACAAAGGTTTCTAAAAAGGGGCATTTTATTATGTCTATTCTTCCCTCAATATGTACAGATGTGGAAAACAACTCCCATAGAATGTGAACCTATTTGCCTATCTAATATCAATTTCCTCGTTTCCTTTATTGAGATTCCAATTCTCTTTGGAATAGCAGGCTCTGTTTGCAGGTAAAGGTGCCATGTGACATTTGGCCAATAAAATGAAGCAGAGGTTTAATGGATAGGACTTCAAGTTACTTTTTTCCTAATATCAAGAATATCTGAGGTAGATCTTTTTTACCTCTCTTCTTTCTCATTTCTTCCTGACTAAAACAGAGAACCATGGTAAATGAGAGGACCCACCTTTGTCAACATGCAAACAAAAAGCTACCTTGTAAGAAAAAAAAGCAAAATGAAAGGAGTCAGGTCCTTAAACATAACATGGAGTCACTGAAGCACACCTACACTTTGGCCTTCTTGTTAGTTGAGAAAAAGAAACTCTTGAGGAATCACTGTAATCAGATTTATATTGTGTGTAGCTAAACGCCATCCTAACTGACATAGTGAGATGATAAGAGACAGCATCAAAAGAACAAGAAGGATTCGAAGACTTAAGCTCTGTATTTACTCTGTAAAACTGAAATTTTTAATTTAATTTTACTTTTACTCTGTAACATTAAAAAAAGTCACCATAATTTCCATTATGGTAGAATTCCTTCCAGAGTTATTGGAGACTGAAAAAATTTGTCAATGCACTTCATGAACAGTGAAAATACAAAATAATTTTGAAATACTAACAAGAAGTGGTTAGTTCTTACAGTCACATTTTGAATTTATGGTTTTCATGATGGGAGCTCCTATTTTTTCAACTATAAAAAAGATAATGTCTTTCCTTGTCACATAGTTACTGAAAGGTTCAAATAAGGTAACATTAAGTAAACTGCAAATTGTTAAACACTATATAAATGTTAGAAATTATGGAGTTACTATTTTGAAAGTGATGTGATGTTGATTTGAAAAAAATTTCTAGGGTTGATTCTACTAATAATTTACATGAATGGCCTTGACGAATGTATTAAATTTTTGAGTCTCGTTTCCTTATTTGTAAGTGAGAGTGCTGACTTTAGTCTGTGTCCCTCTCTCTGTGTAGCAGTAGTTTGCTATTCTCCAACATCCACTTTCCCTGTTTTCCCTGAATGACAGAATCCCTAAATTTTAGTTTGGATAGCTATTGAAAATAAGGACTACATTTTTTTGTTTGTTTGTTTGTTTGTTTTTTTTTTTTGGCTCCTTTGCGACTGGGTTGTAGATAGGTTTTGATCAATGGGATGTGAGGTGAAGAGATGGATGTTTGACTTCACAAGTCAAACCCTTAGTAGGAAATGTCCTCCATGTCTCTCTTTTTACCCTTTCCATTGGTGAAATATGGCTGAAGTGGTGAGCCATCCTCAGTGACACAGAGGAAGGCAACAGCAAAACAGCAATAGGGACAGAACTGCATGCCTGGCACCAGGGAACTACCCTGGCAGTCATGGACTGCTTATATACCGTGTGTTAGAGAAGAGAGAAATAAACTACTTTGTGTTCAACCTCACATATTTTGGTATATATTATGGCAGTCTAAATTAACAGCCTAGTGTGTGTCCTAACTAATTCAGTAAGGATTTAAATAAATACATGAAAGTAATCCATAAGCCATAAAGCAATGATATAGTCTTGCAGTACTTTGTCACGGCAATGGCATAAATCTTTTGTAGCTTATCAAACCATCAACTTTAAAAATTATTTGAATTATGAAAAGAAGAAAGTCAGATAGCACAAAGTGGACCTGATTTTGAAACACAGAGCCAGCACTCAAACAGATGTTTAGCCAATCTCAGAGCAGCTGGAATGTGGGATTCACAATTATTCAGCAAAGCTCATCTATAATTTTAGAGTAATCAAATATTAACTTTGTCTTTCTGTTTCTCTCCACTTCATAGACAGTCTTTTTATGCAGTTATCAATCATGCCCCTAAGACACAATGGGGATGACTGGAGTAAATGACATTAGTATGGGATGCCCATTGTATCAGTATCCTAAAGCTGCCATAAAAAACTACAGGTTGAGAATCTCTAATCCAAAATTCCAAAATTTGAAATGTTCCAAAACAAGCACCGATATGATGCCACAAGTAGAAAATTCCATACTGGATCTCATGATGGGTCACAGACAAAACTTTGCTTCAAGCACAAAATTATTTAAAATGTACAACATTACCTTCAAGCAATGTAAACAAGCTATATATTAAATATAAATAAATTTCATGTTTTTACTTGGGTCCCATCTCCAAGATCTCATTACATATATGCAAATACATAAAATCTGCAATGTGAAACACTTCTGACCCCCAAACATTTCAGAAAATAGATACTCAATTTGTAACACAAACCTGATGGCTTATAAAAAATATATGTATTTTCTTATAGTTCTAAAGGCCAGAAGTCTAAAATCAAGGGGTCAGAAGAGTTAGTTTCTTCTGGAGGCTCTGAGGGAAAATAAATTCCATGATTCTCTCCTAGGTCCTGTGACTGTAGTCCTTAGCCTATTAAAGACCTCACTCCAATCTCTGCCTTCACTTTCACATCATCTTATAGCACATGTGTCTGTGTCCTTTCTGTTTCTTATAAAAACACGCTAATTGGCTTAAGAACCTTACTCTAACCCAGTTTAATCTCATCTCAATGCTTACCTTAACTTTCTGGGTTGTTATGGTTGAACTATGCCCCCCAAAAAGATATGCTGACATCCTTACTCCCAGCACCTTGAAAATTGATTTTATTTGGAAATAGGGTCATATGATGTACTACGTTAAGATGTGGTCACACTACAGTAGGTTGGGCACTTAATCCAATATAACTGGTGCACTTTTAAGAGGAGAGACACAGACAGACAGAGAGAATGCCATATGATGATGAAGGTAGAGATTGGAATAAACACTTATAAACCAACCACCACCACAGAATACTGGCAAACTGCCAGAAGCTAGGACAAAAACAAAAAGCTTGTCCCTTACAGGTTTCAGGGAGAGCATGGCTCTGCCAACACCACAATTTTAGTTTTCTAGGCTCCAGAACTATCAGACACTACATTTCTGTCCTTTAAGACACGTAATTTGTGTTATTTTGTTACAGCAGCCCTAGGAAACTAATACAGGAGTGGACACAAATTTGGGTGCAGGATGGTAAATGCTACAGATAAACAGTTCAATAACAATAACTCTTGAAAGCTCTAGCATGTCATACCTGTATATTCGGAAAATGGCTTATGTATAACTCCTAGCACAGGTTTACCATTTACAGCCACACACACCATAGTAGTGACATACTTTCGAAGATCCTCTATGAGAAAAAAACAAAACAAGACACACAAATGTCAAAGTAATGTGCATAAAGTCAGGGTACAATATTATACTTTATTTCATTAAAAAATTTATGTACACGAAATGTCTTTCCAAGACAACAATCCATTCAAACTAACAGAGTCCACGGGCAAGAGCCAGTTTAAAGGAGTGGCTAAGAGTTCTGGGTCACAATGAGATACTACCTTGCACCAGTCAGAATGGCTATTATTAAAAAGTCAAAAAATAACAGATATGAGTGAGGCTGTGAAGAAAAAGGAATGCTTATACACTGTTAGTGGGAGTGTTAATTAGTTAAGCCACTGTGGAAGACAGTGAGGCAATTCAAAGGCCTAAAGAAAGAAATACTATTCGACCCAGCATTCCCATTACTGGGTATATATCCAAAAGAATATAAATCATTCTATTATAAAGACACATGCACGTGTATGTTCACCGCCGCACTATTCTCAACAGCAAAGACACGGAATCATCTTAAATTCCCATCAGTGACAGACCAGGTTAAAATCATATGTGTATATCATGGATTACTCTGTAGCCATTAAAAAAAGAACAAGATCAGGTCCTTTGCAGGGGCATGAATGGAGCTGGAGGCCATTATCCTTAGCAAACTAACACGGGAACAGAAAACCAAATACCATGTGTTCTCTAAGTGGGAGCTAAATGATGAGAACACATGGACACATAGAGGGGAACAATACATATTGGGGTCTTTTAGAGGATAGAGAGTGGGAGGAGAGAGAGAATCAGGGAAAATAACTAACGGATACTAGGCTTAATACTTGGGTGTCATGACACACATTTGCCCCATGTAACAGGCCTGCACTTGTATTCCTGAACTTAAAAGTTAAAAAAAAATTACATTTAGAATCAAGACCCTTTTATATTATAAAAATCACACAAAACAAAAAAGTTCTGGTTCAATAGGTAGATTACCTGGGTTGTTCTTCTAGCCCACCATTTTGTTAGCTGAATGTCCTTGGGTAAATTACTTAAATTCAGTTTCCTTATCTGTATAATATAAACAATAACTAAGCACTCATCTTTAGGTATAAAGTAACTTTTAATTTTAAAAATCAAATTAGACACTTAAAATAGTCCCTGCACAAGGCATGTGATCACTAAATGCTATTATATGATCAGGCCAAACTCAGTTTAGGAAGAAATTTTATAAACAAATTCCATGATATTCCATATTTCTATTATCTACTCCTAAAAAGTTCTGTTTTGTAACTGCAGTTACTATTAGATATATATCTCTAGTGTCTTCTCCCTGTTCTCCAAAGTTATATATTGATAGCTATGATTTAAGTTCAGTGCAAAAGCACTGAAATACAAAGGCAAAAATGCAGACGCCCCTACATTTAGGGAACTTACAATCTAGCAAGATACACAAACAACTAACTTTAACATATGGCACCAAATGGAAAGAGAAAAAGGCGAAAATTAGCTACCTCTGGGTAAGAAACAAGGCCTGAGAGGGGATCTACAAAAATAAAATTTGACTAGTACCAGGTAAAAAGGGCACTGGAGGGGCAGTAATTCTGTTTTGTTACTTACTTGCTTTCTAAGTACCTAGAAATTTACTATTTTGAATTCAAAAGTCAGATGTACATGCATTAAAACTTAAACTCCCAATATCCCAAGTAAATACTAAACTCTGGGTAAAGAAGCTTCTTCAATTATAGGTGTCCAATATAAACCATTTTGCTGCTACTGTTAAAAATCGTTCTTCACTGAACAATCAGTGAGCCACTATCACTTATAGGAAGTATGCCTTGGTTCTGGTTCTCTACTATTAAATGTCAATCAAATGTTTGAGTTCAGTTTTAAAATTACCTGTATATTCCTGGGTAGCATCAAGTGGGTCAATCCAGACAGTAACACTTTCTGCTGGTACCTCTTTAGGAGTAGTTACTTCCTTTAGGATATCGTCAGGAATCTTATGATCCCACAAGATAACCTCCTGATCAGCTGCATCCACGTGTTCCTCAGTATTTATCTGCATTAAAAACAGGTGACAGTTAAAAAATTAAAATATCACTATTTGATAAACTATAAAAGAAAAAAATACTTCAGACAAAAATCACACAAATTATAAATAAGTAAATCCCTATTTCTTTTGATGTTCCATATTGCCAAATGAAAATGAAAAAAAAAAAAAAAAATCCATGACATTAGGTCTGTAAACGCTTCCCAATCTAATATTCAAGCTTGGTATGTTGACTAATCAAGACAGATAATTCAGATATAGAGAAATATAGAGAAATTGAACATCGAAGAAACAAACTACTTAAACCTTAATAATGCACTAAAGTGTGAAAACAGACAATATTCTGGAACACAACATAAGCAACTAGATTTAGAAGAAAAATTACAATAGACTTAAAAAGCAATATATCTTAAAAACGGGTAATTATAAATGCTAAGAGACAAAATAGCCTAGAAAAGTGATCATGTAAAATATACCTTTAATAAGGAAAAGGAAACTGAAAACAATAAAACAGATAATAAGCTAGTATATTATAATACCTAAGTAAAATGGAAACAAGTAATCAAAAGGGACATACAAAAAAAAAATCAGTGTTCTTTTCACTATATACCAAAGACAGTATCACAGAATAGGGAAGTACAGTCAAATTTTTTACCTTTTTTTTTAAACTAAGGAACAAAATTAAAACATAAAATAAATCTAACTTACCAGAGATATGTAAGGGTGTGGGGTAAGGAGAAAAATAAAGGAAGGGATGTTATTAGAGTAGAGGAATACAGTCTCTTATTACCCCACCCCCTTACATACATACATAACACACACACACACACACACACACACACACACACACACACGCGCGCACCCTTACGTATATTCTCTCTATATAACATATTAAATATACAAGTGTTTGTATAATACTTTAAGTATTCTGTTCATTTACAAATACATTACAGATGCCTTTAAACTGAGATTGCTCAACTTTGGAGTGACTGACAATCTGGACTGTATAATTCTTTGTTGTGGGGCTGTCCTGTGGTAAACTGTAGGATGTTTAACAGCATCCCTGGCTAAATGCCAGTAGAATACACTAGATGCCAGCAGCACCACCCTCAGTTGTGACAAATAAAAATGTCTCCAGAAATTGTCAAATATGCCCCTGTCTCATCCTACGTAAAAAACAGTTTTAACAGTGTGTTTCTTACTATATTTTAAAGTATAGTCTGATTTGTAAAATAGTGTTTTAAAAATAACGTTTTAAAACTACATTTACTTTTGTAAATTAGCATATACCAATGGACTAAATCTAAGAATTGAGTGTACTTTAAGAATTAAGTTAATAACAAATCATCATTCTTATTTGAATACTGCCTCATTACAAGACCTCAACCACATCATAATACACACACACAAGAAAAAATGTCCCCAAAATGTGGATTTTAGTTAGGGACTTATACCCTCAGCAAGACAGGCTATTAGGCCCTGTGCATTTTGACAAGCTCCCCTTCCAGAGGAGGTCATGTTTATACTACATGTGATGCCATGCCTAGAATCCATGCTGCAGTGCCAGAGTGATTTACAGCACTGACAATACATGAGTATTGTCAATACACCATCTCTCACCTGGATTCCCATAATAGTCTTCAGAAAGTCACAAACATGATTTTTAAAAGTCCCACAACTATCAGCACCAGAAGGTACCCTGAAACACTCCAAATTATCACAGGAGAGGTTAAAAATAGTAATATTCTAGAAACATCAAACCACTTAAATCATTAAATGTTTTTTAGTACAGAGCAAAGTAAACATTCAATTTTTTCACTTCTGCCTTTATTAATTCAGCAAATGTTTACTGATTGCCTACTATCTGACAGACACAGTTACAGGTCCTAAAGATACCAGTGATCAATGTGAGACAAAAATTTCTGCCCTGTGGAACTCAGATTCTAGCATAGATAACAAGATGAATGAAAAAAACATGTAGCATGCTGGATAGTGGTAAGGAGGAGAAAATAAAGACCAAAAGGACAGAAAGATGTTGTTGGAGAGTAGAGGATGGGTAGTTAGAGAGTAGAGGAAGGGTTACTCATTAAGAAAAAAGGTAGAAAGGATTATTAAGAAAGGGTAGCTAGGTAATTATTCACAACGGCCAAAACCAGAAAACTATTAACTGCATCAATTAGCAGTTTATCCATTATCCTGATAATGGATAAATATATTTGGTATATCCATACAATGGTAAGTTACTCAACCATAAATAAGAATAAAGTACTGATCAGGCTAAAGCATGGATGAACCCCCTTGCTTTGTGAAAGCAGCAACATACAAGACCATATACTGTTTGATTCCATTAATGTAAAATGTCCAGAAAGGCACATTTATAGAGACAGACAGATCAGTGGTTGCCTGGGATAAGGGATAAAAACAAGGATGAATAGCTAATGGGGACAAGGGTATTACTAGGGTGGTGAAAATGTTCTAAAACTGATAAATGATGATAGTTGTACAATTTGGCAGTTCTACTAAAAATTACTGAATTATATACTTGAAATAGGCATGCGCCTGTAGTCACAGCTACTCAGGAGGCTGAGGCAGAAGAATCACTTGAATCAGGGAAGTGGAGACTGCAGTGAGCCAAGATCATGCCACTGCACTCCAGCCTGGGCAACAGAGGGAGACTCTGTATCAAAAAAAAAAAAAAAAAAAAAAAAAGAAAAGAAAAAAAAAAATAGGCAAATTATATGATATATAAACTATGCTACACTGAAGTTATTTTTTTGGAAAAAAAAAAAAAAAAAGGGAACATAACTAGAGAAGTCCTTCACTCAAAACATGCTATTTGAGTGAAGAAATCTACAGAAAATAAGCCTGGCAGGCATCTACAAGTACATTCCAGCCCAATGAACAACAAATGGAAAGACCCTAAGGTTGGAATGTGCCTGGTGTGTTCAGAGGGCAGACAGTAACACCATACAAAAAGGAATAAGCTTTAAAGAAAGAGAAAGAAAAGTGACTCCTAGAAAAGACAAAGTAGTGTATGGGTCTTAACCACTGTAGTTTACAAAAATGGCAGTGCCAAGTCTGGCAACTACTGAGCTTTACTGATTTTTTACAGAATTCCAGTCAGATTCTCCACATACTTGCAACTGAGTATGAGCTAACACATTATAGAAGAGCATTTGAAAAGATTCAGGTTATGGAGAAACAAAACAAGAGAACAAGAACATTAGAACAAGTACCTAACCTGCTTTTGCATAACTCCTATTTATAACCCCTGCCATAACCATTATATACTTACAAATTTGAAAAATCTACTACCAATGTAAACAACCTTACCAATAGTTTCTAAGGTCAACACTAGAAAGTCTTTCTCTATCCTTTTTCACATGCCGCACCCAATCAGTCAGCAAATTCTGGAGAGTCTAAACATGTCATCGTGTCTACCAAGAACATCTTAGTTTAGGCCACCATCTCTCACCTGGATTCCTATAACAGTCCTCAATTGTTCTTGCCTCCTACAGTGTATTCATTCACCCATTCATTCAACATCCAATGGCTATATACTCTAAACTGTTTTGGGCATTGGGATATACTAATGAACAAAACAGACAAAATCACTGCTTTTACAGAGCTTTCCTTCTCAAACCAGCAACCGGCCATCTTCCTAAATCAGGTCATGACACTCCAGTTTAAAACCTTCCAGTGGTTTCTCATTATGCAGAGATAAAATCCAGACTCTTTGTCATAATCTACAACATAAGTCCTAGATGATCTGGGTAATGATAGCAGTAAGTGCTATCCAGTCATCTCTCTCTATTTGCACCCTTATTTACTGTACCCCAGACTTACTAGTCCATGGTCACTCGGTCTCAGGACCTCTGTACTTGCTGTATTCTTTTGCTTGTACATACTTTCCCCAGATTTCTGCATGACATCCTGGTTCTTATTCAGGTCTCGGTTCAAATGACACTGCCTCAGAGCGGCCTTTCCAGACTACCACTGATAAAGCGGGACCCCAGAAACACTTCCCACATAACCTTATTTTTTCTTCTTCAAAGCCCTTATCAGAAACCATCTTACTTGTTTACATGTTTACTATCTTGATCAGCTAGAACATAAGTTCTGTGAATCCAAGGACATAAACTGTCTTCACTACTGTAGCTCCATTCCCATTGTCTAAACCAAAGTAGGTACTCAATAAATAGTCTTAACTGACAATATTATTCTTAGCAACTGTCGTTTATTATTTCTTACCCATAATCCTCTTCCACTTAACCTACTCTTCCTACCTAATCCTTACTGCCTGTCAAAGACCTCAACAAGGAATTGAAACATAAGAAATCAACCCACGCTCCAAAAAACCCATACCTACAAACAGCCCTGGCCAATCCCTGCCTCCTCCCCACACCCAGCCAATCACTCCCAAAGCAGCCCATTATGGTGGGAATGAAAAATGCAGCTTTTAGAGAACCTATAATTTTAAAAGGGTAAGCATAAAAAGATTCTAGAAATCAAAAAACAGTAAACTGATCTTGGGCTATGCTGGTACATAATAGCTCATCTTGCAGTCTCCACCTACACAACATTATCAGATCCTTTTGTTAGCCTCTAGGTATACCAAGCACAGATTTCCTTAGGTTAACTTGCCTCCTGTATAGACATTTCTAGTACTCACAATGCCCAGTTTTCTTTTCCTTCCTGAACATATGGGAAACTATACTGCCCATCTACGCTGTAGTTAGAGGCACATGAGAGAGATTCTGGCCAGAAGAATGTGGACAAAAACATAGATGCGCAAAATATGGACAAAAATGTGAATGTGCATCACTTTCTGGCTTAGACAATAAAAAGAAAGCTCCTGCCCAATTCTCCAAACTCTTCTCTTTCCCTGGTATGTTGACATGGCAGAATCACACAACAATATCAACTAGGTCACAGTCACTGCATGGAGGACAATCACTTTGGAGAGTGTCAGGCTTCTGAGAACTAGAGGATGTCATTACTACAGCATC